AAAAGGCAAAATAATTGCGGCTGCTTGTGATGTTGCCGATTAAGCATCTTTTGTTTTGGAGATTCTTAAAGTTAACATCTTTTGTAAGAATTTGAATAAAGTGGTTTTGCTAAGTTTTCTTTATCATCTTAATGAGAGATTTATCATTTTATTTTGCTTAAGTAATCAAATGTCTCTTCCTGTTTTTCTTTATTTGCAATTTTAGAAATTCCGCATTGCTCATAGATTTCTTTCACTACTAAAATTTTTTTTTTAGCAACTAAATATCAACAACATGAAATTGCTTATTGGTGATATGAATTTTCACCAACAAGACCCATGTTGCTTATACTTAAATAGTATACAAGATCTCAAAAAATAATATTCATTTTCAGCAACATCACTTTCAGCAACATGATTCTTGTTGCTGAAAGTAAATTTCAGCAACAAGAACCATGTTGTTAAAATTTTCCAATTAGTTAGGCTATCATTCATTGATTGTCAGCTGCACCATATCATAAATTAATCAGCAACATGGGGAGCATGTCAGTAATATGGATTTTCACCAACAAGACCCATGTTGTTGATGGTTAAATAGTACTGGTAATGGCAGTCTTCCACCTCTTTACTTTGTTTACAGTAACCTTCTGGTGACACGCAAAAGCTTCGCCAAAGCTTCCCCTCTGGTTGCGGACATCTGAGGGATCCACATGGAAGAAAATGGGTAGAACCATCTGCCCCAACTTGTCCCTGCAAGCAAGGATCTTGACGAGCTCGTCCAGGCACCATCCAAAACCAACATAGTTTGTGGAGTTATTTGCAATTTTTTTTAAGGAAAAAGGAAATTGATCCCGAGTTAGTATTAAAACTTCTGTGTTCTGTTTTGATTGCCAAGAAAATGTGACTGCTTTTTGTTTTTCCCTTTTTTTATTTTTCTTTTTTTTTATCAAATCATCTATTGCATCATTCAATTGGTCCTGATTTTCACCCTTAACCATAAGAGTCGAATTTAGGAAGAGGTAGAGTTGACTATACAATATCAAGATTCAACTTCAAAATTTTAGAGAATGGAATGTTTCTAGAAACAGTTCAGAGTCGACCCTTCAATAAAATATTGGACTCTAGGTATTAAATAAAGTCGACTCTACATTGTAAGAGTTGACTCTTACGCAAAAAGAGTCGATTCTCATTTTTAATAATTGACTCTTAAAAAATATATTTTATACTTTTATTTGAAATATTTATATAAACTTAAATATATGTCCATATTAGTTTTTAAAATTATAAATAAAATTCTACTAATATAATTATATTAATTAATATATTAAATGTTAAATAATATTTAATAAAGTAATAAAAATATATTAAGAAATTAAAATTCGAAAAATAAATGTTGAAATATATTGAATATTAAATCATATTTAATTCAGGACATTAATAGGGTAGAGAAGTTTGTAATGATTGCCATTTAGTGCATTCAAGATCACCCATCGCTGAGACACACTATGAAGAGAGTCTCACAGATGCTAGAAGGAGCCGTTGAAGTTTCTTATCCTTTAGTCAATTCCTATTCATCAGTTTAATTTAAACCTACCAAAACCCCATGATCAGTTAAGAAATGAGTGTGGTCAATATTGTTGGTTCTTCGGATTCATGGGGTGATCTCTGTTGATCTTTTGAGGCTTTCTTCTAGATATTCCTAGTTACGTGTTAGGTGAAGAAATGTGTTAGGGCTGTGTTTCACTTAAATTGTTGAACTCGTGTATGTTTATGTTTGACTCAATAAAGATTATACCACTCACCACAACCAATCTTGAAAAACAATTTCCAAATTCAGAAAATTAAAAAGATACATGATGGAGAAAGGTTGAAGGACAGAGCAATACCTTCAAAATTCAATTGAACCCAGACCTCATAAGATTTCATAATTAATTACTTCAGCGTCCAATTGAGACCGACCCACGGCAATTTCAGAAACATCATCAGAAATGGCAGCCCCGACGAAAACACGCCGAAGTGCAGAAGAAGGACGAAGTGAAAGAAGAACAAAGTCACGATTCAGACTTCGATTCGAAACATGTGATTGAAACCTTTTTTTTTTTTTTTTTTTTGGGCCTTTGAAATTGAGATTGAACTGATTGGAGAATTGTGTGTTAGGGCCTTATGGGCTTTCTTATCTGCTTAATTCAATAAATCATCTACTAAATGTTAAGGAAGAAGGGAGTCGGTTCTAGGAGTTTTCTCTCTAGGGCTTCCCATTTCTGTTTTCCTGAGGTAATCCCTTCAGGTTCCATCTCCTTCTTTTCCTGTTCA